TTGTTTTTAACAGTATATATGGTGGAATTTTGATTGACTTCTCGTGACTTGCACATGGCTATACGCACACATGTAAAACAAATACACACACACAAATAAATGCATAGCAGGGGGAAATTGATTGCAATCGGACTGGCTTTTGTTTTTATTAGTATTATGCACTAACTTCGTACTTTTAAACTTTATTATATAAAACTCTACGGGATTATTATCTATTTCCTGCGTCTATAAACAAATGCAATTAATCATGCATACAAGATAATCTAAAAACAAAACTGATTGCAACGGCGCCTTTTTGTAATGCCCGGAGCTTTTCATGTCTTTCAGCTCCGGGCAATGTTGCAATCAGAGGGAGCAATTTTCTTATTTTTTGCTCCCTTTTGGGGATTCGAACCCGCGACCGCGTATCCGTGACCGCGATCGCGCGTTCGAATCTGGCGCCTTAACCCACTCGTCCACCGTGGCCGAGGGGCAGGAAAATTAGGTTAAACGGGGTATTTAAATAACTTCCTCGTGAGTATATGCAAGTGTGTGATGTGTAACATTGAAAGAGAGAGAAAGGGGGGGGGCAAAAAATATATATATGAAAAGGAAAAGGGAGAACAAGGAAAATAGGAAAAGGTTGACGTAATAGAGAAGAAGAGGTATAAAGAGAATAAAAGATGGGGTACAGAGAAAAGAAAGAGAGGCAAAATAACAAGCGCTAAGATAAGACAAATGAAAAAAAAGGAAAGTGAGGCAAGAAAAAAGAGAGAGGGAGTGGGAGAAAATGAGAAGAAAAGGAAAAAGAATATAAAAAGCAAAACGGAGAGAAGAGCGAAAAGAAAGAAAAGGCAAACGAAAAGGGAAAGAAAGAAGTGGAGTAGACGAAGACGAAGATGGAGGAGAACCAAGAAAAAAGACGCAAGAAAGAGTAATGAGACTTTCTCAAGCTTTTTTTTTCTCTCTTTTTTCTTTTGTTTCCTTTTCTTTTCTTTGAGGAACTGAAAAAATCATATATTTTTGACATGTTGGAAGGGGCCATAGTTCTTTATAGAAATAATCAAATAAATAAAAATATATAGATACATAACTCCTTGTAAAATCCCATGTGATTGTGGAAATAAAGGAAATATAAACAGCTCTATAAACCCAATTAATTTTTCAGAGGAAAGAAATCATAAAGAATTTCGTATTTGATTCTGCCTTCAAATGTCTCATTTATAAATCACAGTAGTTTACTGGTTTGTAAAGTACATTACAAAATCAAAAAGGAACAGGTCAAACAATCCACGCAAAAATACAAAGGAAACATTAAAAAGAAAAATAATACTAATAAAATTATTTTCCAGTTGTCCTTGTCGGGATTCGAACCCGAGATCTCCTGATTCAGAGTTAGTCGTGTTAACCACTACACCACGAGGACTCCCATTGGTAAGTGGAGCAATGCTTCCACTGTTCCTTCTTCCTTCCTTCCTTCCCTCCCTCCCTCCTCCCTCCCTTCTTCTCTCCCTCCTTCCCTCCTTCTTTCTCTCCCTCCCTCCCTCCTTCTTTCTCTCCCTCCCTCCCTCCTTCTTTCTCCCCTCCCTCCCTCCTCCCTCCTTCCCTCCTTCCCTCCTTCCTTCCTTCCCCCTCCCTCCCTCCCTCCTTCCAAAAGGTATCATAAAAACATGTGATTCTGCCTCCGAGTGTCTCACTTAGAGATCACAGGCTTCCTGCTTTGCCATTCAGTGAAATACGTAACAAAATTAAAAATGAACATGTCACACGTCCACGAGTTGCATGAAAAGAAATGATCTGCGCAAAAGTAGAAGAGAAACGTTAAGGATTTTATTTCATTTCTATTTCTTTCTTTCTTTCTATATCTTCATAATTGAAAACTTACCTATTGTATTTATATAATATACATATATATATACATATATATGTATATGTATATATATATATATCTATATATATATATATGTGTATATATATATATATATACATATATATATATATATATATATATATATATATATATATATCACGCGGATTCTTGAACCGAATTTGCTTGTTTTTTCCTCCTAAATGAATAACCTCGCTCCTTCCTTATTGCAAATATTCATGTTCAAAATATGGATTTTCGAAGAAATCATTAGGAATCGACATGGACCGCCTTTCTCAAGCTTCTCTCTCTCTCTCTCTCTCTCTCTTCTCTCTCTCTCTCTCTCTCTCTCTCTCTCTCTCTCTCTCTCTCTCTCTCTCTTTCTTTTTGTTTCCTTTTCTTCTCTTTGAGCAACTGAAAAAATCATATATTTTGGACATGTTGGAAGGGGCCATAGTTCTTTATAAAAATAATCAAATAAATAAAAATATATAGACACATAACTCCTTGTAAAATTCCTTGTGATTCTGGAAATAAAGGAAATATAAACAGCTCTATAAACCCAATTAATTTTTCAGAGGAAAGAAATCATAAAGAATTTCGTATTTGATTCTGCCTTCAAATGTCTCATTTATAAATCACAGTAGTTTACTG